TAAATTATTAAACTAAACATGTCAAGTGAAAGTTATGTTTAAATAATATATGCCATACTCCCTGCCATATAACTCATTCTGTCATTATTTTGGCACCTTTTTATATCAAAATAATCTACAATGACCTCCTTTCTCTTGATGTCATAGCTGGAAATTAGATACACAATTTAAACACACTAAATTGAAGAGCCAAGGTCAGCAGCCCTAAGAAAAGTGTATAAAAGTGTTTTATATAAATGCTCCTTTTTCTCTTCTTTATTGTATTATACTCCTTTAATTGGGCATATTTGACATCCATTGTAAATGGGAGGAAATCCTTTCTAGAACCAAAAGTGCATACTCACAAAAATGCACAGTCCCACAGACAAGGCAGACATTTATAAACTATATAAAACTATATTATAGCAAAGGCTATTTAATGATGAAATCTAAGGCATTTTATGGAACTGAGATTTCATGAGTGCCAAAATAGAACACTACTCATAAATTACATCCTTAATTATACATCATACTCATTGAATATTACTGTGTTTACATGCTTTGAGAGAATGTTGAAATGAATATAATTTATATGTTCTAGAGCAGTGTTCCCCAACCCAGTCCTCATGGACCACCAACAGTCCAGGATTTATGTGTGTCCCTGTTTTATTCCAATAGAGAGACTGACAAAATCTGGACTGTTGGTGGTCCATGAGGACTGGGTGGGGGAACACTGTTCTAGAGGACTAAGTACTAAACATTATTTTAATTTAACAAAAGCCTAGATTTATTGTTTTCCTATCCTTCAGCCCTGTGGGTATATATTATATAAAAAAACAAAACAAAAGTACGGTAAGAAAGTGAAGCGAAGACATGGGGAAAGTGAGGAGGTGAGAGAAAGGGAGGTCACAGCTGATGGGCCAAGCTGAGGTGTGATTTCTATCCTTCATGGGTCAACAACCATATCAACAACCACATCACACAACCGAGCTCGGAATGGTATAGGTAAACATAAGATGCACCAACTGTTCTGAATAGGTTTTATGAACACAGAGTGCACCCGTACAAGCCACCTGCACAAACTCGCTTTGTAAATAGTTAAACACTTTTTTTTTCTTCTACTATGTGTTCCTTTATCTTTCTTTAATTTCTTTAAAAAAAAAAAGTCAAGTATCACAGAGAGGGTAATTTAGAATGGGGAATAGCCCCTACACCAAAGGGTATGCCCCGTGTACTGTAAAAGAAAACATGAGGGGATAGACGGCAGCAGCCACAAATCAAAACCGATCAAAAACAGCTGAGGGCATTAGCCAGTTAATTATTTGAGACCACATGGGTGGAATCCAAGGTTAACAATATTGTACCATTGTAACAGTATAGTAAGGGTGATTTAGTGGAAAAAGATAAGCTACGAATTGATAGATGCCCAGAATGACTAATCGGTAATACACCGGATGTGACAGGAAGCACTAATGGAGTAAACAGCCATGGCACCAATCTCAAATTGGAATATGCAACCTTTCTTAATGTCAATTAAGTAATGTACATATTGTTTTGAACTGCTGGCTGTACTGTTCTAACCCTATGATCCCTACTGCAATGGGGATGGCGATGAATACCCTTACCTTTTTATCTTCTGTATCCCGTTGAAAACCTTTTGACTCAATAAAAATTGTCAAATTGAAAAGAAAATAGAGGACTAAGTATTTTTTTTTTTTTTTTTTTTTTTTTTAAAGCCTCTTAAAAGTATGTAGATTTGTTATTTTCCTATCCCTCATCCTTGTGGGTATATTTGACTTTGCATTGTGAAGGAAAACCCTATTGTGAGTCAGTTTATATGTAATGTGTTAAAGAATTCATACAAAGAAGTACTGGTTGTAACTGCATAATTTAGGATTCAATAGAAGAGTCTTAGGAATACTATCTGATTGGTGAAAGATCAGTTCCCTAGAAAGGCAATTCATCAAACCAGAAACGTCTCTTTTTTTCTTTATATCTCTTCTCCAACCTGAGAGGCATTTAGAGCTGACACTTGATAAGACTACACAAAAAAGAAGTCACAGTAAAAAAAAAAAAAAAATATATACTATAAAATAATGGCATCTTTTTGCATTACAGTTAAAAAAATAAAGCTTGAAAGCCTCAAAATAAAGCATGCAAGGCTATGCAAACGTGCGGGCATTAGTCTTCCCATTCAAACCTTCAGTGTTCACATGAGTACTATAAGGTTATTAGATCAAATGTTTTTATTTAGTTTTCTCCCTAGAATTAACACTTTAGCTCCAAAATACTATTAGGAAGATAGAAATTAATTATTAGTATGTTCTCTGCCACTGTACTATATCATGAGATTACCCAGTGAAAGAACAATGATCATTACACAAAATTAGAATTAAGTACATATAGTCTAACGAACAGCTAATACATAGCTAGTACATTATATAGCATGTAAAAGCTATTATACCTTGCATCTTACAAGATCTATAACGTTTTAATGTTTTTAGATAGTAATATATTCATAAAACACTAAATACAGTACATTAGTTTGAGACTTCATACTATTACATTTCATTGGATTTTGCTGTGGGTTTTTTGAAGTAAAAAAAATAAAATGTAATTGTATATTATTTGTGTCATTTTTATCCTTTATTATCATTATTAAAAATTTAGCATTCAAAATGAATCTACTAATTCTCTTTCTTGCATATTTGACAGATGTGTGAAATGCTTTTTTTACCCATTCATTTTGGACTTGCACATTCTGAGTCTTCTTAAATATATTGCTTAAAGGGACACAATACACCAAAACAACTTTAGTTTAGGTGTATAGAACATGCCCCTGCAGTCTCACTGCTCAATTTCCTCAAAATTTAGCAGTTAGATCACTTTGTTTATGCAGCCCCAGTCACACCTCCCTACATGTGACCTACACACTTCCTGTAAAGAGTCATCTAATGTTACCACTTTATTTCTTGCAAATTCTTTTTTATTTAGAACTTCTTATCTCTTGCTTTGTTAATAGCTTGCTAGACTCCGCAAGAGCCTCTTCTATATAATAAAAGTTCAATTTGCAAAGCAGGAGATAAAAACATTTAAAGTAAGCTACATTTCATTTAAAATTAAACCATTAAATAGTGATGTCCCGAACGGTTCGCCACAGACGGCAAACATATGCGCTGTTCGGTCCGCCCCCTATTCGTCATCATTGAATAAACTTTGACCCTGTACCTCACAGTCAGCAGACACATTCCAGCCAATCAGCAGCAGACTCTCCCTCCCAGACCCTCCCACCTCCTGGACAGCTCACTAAGAATGCAGCTTCACAATGAATGTAAAATGGATGCTGTCCAGGAGGTGGGAGGGAGGGTCTGCTGCTGATTGGCTGGAATGTGTCTGCTGACTGTGAGGTACAGGGTCAAAGTTTACTCAATGATGACATAGGGGGCGGACCTAACGGCGCATATATTCGCCATCGGGACGTCACTACCATTAAACCAGGCAAGGTGTGGTTAGGACTGCCTAAAATAAACCAAAGGTGATTTAACTCCTAAATGGCAATGAATTGAGCATTAAGACTGCAGATGTATGATCTTTATGCTTAAACTGCTTCATAAAGCTAAAGCCGTTTTTGTGACTATAGTGTCCCTTTAACAATTAGTTAAATAAACAAATATATGGTTAGAAATGTGCACATTAGAACCTCCCTGCTTTGCTTGATTATAGAACGTACAGTTTTATTTAAATAGTATATCCTTACAGTATAGGTCAAGGCCTGATCCAAAACAATTTCCTTACTGGATCCAAGAACAAGGTGCCACCAAAAAAATGTTGCCGTCTAAGGACACACCAACACAATGGACTTCCCATATTCTACAACATAAAATAAAATTATTTGTGTCTTTTGAAAACAAATCTCCTCTACTAAAACTTGTGGCAAGTATAAACTAAATAGGGCCATTACAAACGTAATCTCTGCCAAACCAGTGTGAATTGAGTGTACACTTGGAGAGAGGAATCAACACACGATGTCCAAGCTCTTCAGTAAGCTTCCTTACCATGCTTGCACAACTTTTGCTGATGATGTGCAGAGAGTTGCATTATTGCATATTATTTAAACTCTCTACCTTTCACAAATGTCCTTTCTCCCCCCTCCAATGTAAGGAGTCAAACCAATTTTAAACAATGTGACTTTTTATTTAGGATCTGCTGGGCCCCCCTCCACACCTCTATTTACATTTTGGTGTAGTAATTTACATTAATTAAGACAGCCGACCACTCTCAGACAATGAGCTAAGCCCACAGGTACTATATTAGACTATTCAGATAGTGTGTATCCATATAATGCATGGGGGGTGCCAATCTCTTAAAGGGAACAGCTTTTTGTGTAGCATGCTTTTCGCGTGCATGCGATCAGGCATGAGCATGCAAGGAGGGAACCCATCAGAGGTTTCTCATTGAGAAACTTCTGATTGGCTATTTACCTGGGGATAGTCTGAACGTCTCTTCCTGGGAATAGGGGGATTGCAGAAGAACTGCAACTTTTGCAAGTTGTCTTCAGATATACCCCTAAATGCATAAAAATGCATGCATTGGCTGTGTCTACTAAACAGCGCTATTTTTCTAATATGGGAAATAATTATTTAACTTTTTAACCAAAACATAGAACTTTGATAAGTGCCTCATTTGTATTTAGTGCACCCACACATATTATATAGAACATTTTAATAGAATTAATTTTTTTAATGCGCTCTGTGTGTGTGTGTGTATATATATATATATATATATATATATATATATATATATATATTAAAAAAAACCACATACACATATACACACTCACAATACTTCTTAACTCATAAAGTGCTTCTTTATTTAGAAAGTACAAGATATAAGGATCAATGTTTCCCACCTGGGACCGTTCTCAAGATCTTGCAAAATGTCCCAGCTGGGGACTGAAATGTTGCTCTTTACATCTTGTACTTTCTAAATAAAGAAGCACTTTAAACTATAAACTAAGAAGCCCTTTGAGTGAACTCTCTCTCTCTCTCTCTCTCTCTCATATATATATACATATATATATATATATATAGAGAGAGAGAGCGAGAGAGAGATAGAGAGAGAAAAAATGTATCAATACTTTTGCAAGTGCTTTATGCTCACCTGATACTTTGACACTCTCTCTCTCTCTCTCTCTATATATATATATATATATATATATTTGTGTTCGGGGCAAATAGCCGTATATGGAGTAAGGTTCCAGCATAAGCGTAGGATAGTATAAAGGGAGCAAGTCGGTTGTGGTGTGCCGAGACCGACGATACGGTAGGCCTGTAAATAAAGAGGGCCCACCAAGGAGTAAGTAAGTAAAGTAAATGGAAAGAAAAGAGAAAGTGTTGAAATGAGGAGTGGGTGGGAGGGTCATTTTGATGCTGACCTCAAGCGATATGAGTCAGGTAAGGGGTGTCCCTTATATAGGGGAGTGAATTAATTTAAGCCCCTCCCACAAATACAGGCCAAATGGCCTTAAAACTTGTGTTCGGGGCAAATAGCCGTATATGGAGTAAGGTTCCAGCATAAGCGTAGGATAGTATAAAGGGAGCAAGTCGGTTGTGGTGTGCCGAGACCGACGATACGGTAGGCCTGTAAATAAAGAGGGCAAAAAGAATAATCAAAGATTTAATACAGTCAACAATATATACAAATTAACCAGACATTTCCTTAAATGCATTACGGTATTTAATTCCTTGAAGGATTTTTGAAGGTAGGAATCTAGGACCGCAACTGGACACCATTTGTTGTGGGTAGGATAGTATGTTATCTCTACTGTTGGTGCGTGTTGACTCGTTTCGGAATGTGGTAGAGCCAATAGGTAATGATATATGTGTTTACACACGTGGGATCGTTGAAGACAATGATCTGTCTGAATGGTGGTTATGGTAGTGGATTCTCTGGCCTGAGAAAGGCATAAAAGGCAGTGTGCATGGCTGGTAATGGCCAACTTGGTAGTATAATTGAAAGGTTGTAGCTCTAATAGGTCCGATAAGGATGGAAAAGTTGGATGGCTATTGGTAATATCTGAGAGGAACGTGGGGGGATGGATTCCTGAAAACCTCTGAGTATATTCTTGTCTGGTATGATAGCATGAAGTTATGGTAGTTTTGGCCATAGGTTATCCTGTGTTGTTGAATGCCTGTAAAATATATAATTAATGGTGTGTGAGATAGTTTTAGTTTAAGGTGGCAAAAAATGAAGCAAAACCTAGGAGAAATGTTATGACACAGGTTGAGCTATGTCGTGTTCCAATGAGATTCTTTAAAGACAGGTGAATAGGTGCGTTCTACAAGTATGGGATGAAAGTGCTAGGTGGGATAGTGCATGCTATGCTGCATGAGTATGTCTAATCCATGATTTTGTCTCTGGAACGAAAGAGTGGCCGTGACTGTATATAAGGCTGTAGGAAGCGTATGATGAACGTGCCTGGAATATAAATGAGACAATTGTCGGCAAGGATGTATACCCCCGCCTGGTACATGAAAGTAAAAGAAATGTGGTAAGTGGCCAACCAAGTGAGTTCCCCAGCAATACCATGATCGTATGGATGATGAGTGGCATTTGTTGATGATATGACATGTGCTTAGTTGTCTGAGTAACAACGGATTGATGACCCTGACCATGATTTACCCCATGCCACAGCAGCTGCTTTTAGCGGGGAAAGGATTGCCCATTTTATGCCATGTAAGTGCCAGTTTGTAGGGTAGATGGTAGCCGTTTACGGTGTTGATGATATTGGTCTTACTTAACGAAGCTTCAACCCCTGCTTGAGTGATAGCTGTAAAGGTAGATCAATGGTGTGTATAGTAAGGAAACTCCTCAGAGGGTATGAGAGAGTTGAGACTTGGGGTAGCGAAGGTGTGTGGTGCCAATAAGTCTATGGTTAGTCTTGTTTAAGGGAAGATTCCCTTGTGACAATACCAATGCGTTTGTGTTTGGTGCCATGCTGTAAATGGTGGAGATTGGAAAACCCAAGTAAAAACCCCTCTGCAAATCTTGGCTATGAGTGTGTTTACAGCCGACGGTTCTGTTGTGCTGACTGTAAGTGAGGGCATGCTATATTCCTTGAGAGTTTATTTATGATACCTGTATGGGAGCCCTTTGAAGCTCCAGAGCCTTAGTAACTCTACTACAAGTCTGGAAGGGTGATGAGTCAGTAGTGTTGAAAATGCATTGGTGTGTACAGATGGTGAGTACGTTATTTGTAAGTTGTATTGGGACACATGGTTTGTCATATGCCCTGAACCATTTGAACATATATGCAACAGTCTATATGCAATGCAACTACTAATACCAATTGTCTCTGGTAGCTCAGAGGTGCTGGTACCTGGAGCCTGAGAGTGCTCGTCCATTTGTTTGGGAGAAAATCCCTTCTGTATGGGTACCTGCGCAAATAAGCATCTCTACATATTCCAAATGCCAACACAACCAAGGGATGGTCAGTTCCCGATTTACCTAGAATCCCTGGGTCTGACCATTATAGATACATCATCATACATATATATGCCTTGTTTCCCCAATGTGCCGGGATCATATGTGCAGGGTTAACGTCTTGTACCAAGTAACCGAGTTTCGGTTGGTGCTGGTTGTACAGTAGCGTGAGGCCCAGCCTTGTGAGGGCTGTGACTGACTCGAAATTGCCAGTCTGTCGTAAATTTTTTGGCTCATGAGTTTATGAGTGAGGCTAGCATGGCCTGGGTGTCACCTGAGTTGGTGTTGCTGGGCCTTCCCCTGCCTCCGTGTTGTCCGTTGATGTATGGAGGAGTTTGAATAACTCTGCTTTCCTTGCTGTGGCAGGGTAGGGGATTTGTCGCCTCCTTAGGTCGGAGCCACATCTCCTCTGCTTGAAGGTGTATCACTTCTAGCCGGGGTGCCAGGAAGAGGTGATTCTTCACCATCTTTTTGAGAAATACTTAAATAACAATAAAGATTGCAATTATTATTTGTACCCAGGGGTCTTGTACTGGCTTGCTAGCTAAGCCGTAAGGCGAAACGATTAGGCTTGGTGTTTTTTGGTGACTGGTGAGGCCCTGCTAGTTGCCAAGTGGCTTGAGAGGCTCTATCTATGCTTGGCGCGAGGGGATTTTTTGTGGCCACCGAACGTTGTGGCAGGATGTTGGCCTCTCGGTGACAGTAACCAGAAAAATAGGAAGGGGAGTGACAGGTGAGGCCCTCTCTATGATACAATGCGAGGCGGCTAGCTCACGAGTGGCCCGAGGGGTGTATGCCTCCGAGTGTGAGGCGGGGTGTTAGCCTCGCGGGACCACTAACCAAAGCGTAAAGCAGAGAAACAGGGGGTAATACCTATTGGGCCCTAGAACCCTAATTGCCAGTACATTACTACTATTCCAGGGAAGGTAAGAGATGAAGGTGTATCACTTCTAGCCGTAGTGCTAGGAAGAAGTGATTCTTTACCATCTTTTTGAGAAATACTTAAATAACAATAAAGATTGCAATTATATATTTGTACCCAGGGGTCTTGTACCGGCTTGCTAGCTAAGCCGTAAGGCGAAACGATTAGGCTTGGTGTTTTTTTGGGGGGGTTTTTTGGTGACTGGTGAGGCCCTGCTAGTTGCCAAGTGGCTTGAGAGGCTCTATCTATGCTTGGCGCGAGGGGATTTTGTGTGGCCACCGAACGTTGTGGCAGGATGTTGGCCTCTCGGTGACAGTAACCATAAAAATAGGAAGGGGAGTGACAGGTGAGGCCCTCTCTATGATACAATGCGAGGCGGCTAGCTCACGAGTGGCCCGAGGGGTGTATGCCTCCGAGTGTGAGGCGGGGTGTTGGCCTCGCGGGACCACTAACTGAAGCATAATGCAGAGAAAAAAGGGGGTTATACCTATTGGGCCCTAGAACCCTAATTGCCGGTACACTATTACAAGGAAGGTAAAAGATGGATAACTACGTGAGCAGGTGTACGTACCTGGTAGTATGGTATTGAACCTGACAATCCTTATAGGTTTTTTAGTAGTAACTGTAACCTGAATGTATAAAATCGTATGGCATAAGGAAATATGGCATAGACCAAGCTTATCTTAAAACATACAGTATATGTGAAAGTAAAGTGCCGTGATATGTAAATATTAAACATCATATCCATACTGGTTAAATATGTATCAATCTTAACCCATTAAGTGCTGTATGTATGTGAACCATATTACCAGTTACGTATATACAGATGCGTGTGCTACTGTGTAATAATATGTGTATTTATAACAGATATTGATATACTGCTTGCTATGTGAATTGTTGTATGTCTTATTGAATGGCAAGTGAACATGGAGTTGCAAAATGCAAGTGCACTGGAGATCTGCCGACTGCCCTATAGGTGGCAGTGTAGTTGATGCTGATTGGTATGTGAAATGTTGTTTGTCTGTTGACCTATAGGGGTCAGTGTTTTGGTGTTTGTAAAACCCCATGAAAATTGTCAATGTACTTGACAGACCTGTAGGTGGCAGTGTTGATAGAACCACTGTTAGTCTTAATGTGAAATGTAAATTATTGTGAATTAAACCTGAAGTTGAGCCCGTGTTGGAGTTTAATTCATGGTTTATGGTTATGTTTAAAACAATCTTATGCGTAATTTATATTGGCTGGTAATTGTATATGACATGTGAAGACAGTTTTGCTGTTGACCAGTAGGGGTCAGAAATGTTGATTGTATGGTAAAATACCCTTTAACCCCTGAAGGATACATGACATGTGTGACATATCATTTATTCCAGAGTTTGGTCCTTAAGGGGTTAATCCAAATGCAAGGTTAACGTGAGATTTTGAGAGTGACCTGTAGGGGTCAGTGTGGTTTATGTGAAACATTGTTTGTGAGCTATGCCCCAGCATTATAGTTGTGAAACAAACAGTGCCCGTTTGACAATATACAATAAGTGAACATAATAGCTTAATAACAGTCATTGTAACCAACCAAAGTTCTGTTCATGGGTTGTAAACACAAGAAACGTGTGTGTAGTACAATAGTAAATACATGAACTAGTACCCGTTTGGTAGAAAATTGCACGAACCGTGAGCCTGGTATGTCAGGGAAACAAAACGAAACGAGCAGTGAGATTCGAAATGCACGCACAGAATT